ACGAACACTGCTGCGGGGAACCTGCTGCTTGTCTTGATCAGAGCTCTGGAAAGAATTGGAGGGACCTCTCTCGCTGATTGATGTTTGGCTTAAATGAACACCTCAATCTTTAGGTCTCCAGAGCATATTTTTTAATAGTTCGGAAAATTGAGAAGTTATATCTTAATTTTGCTAGCCAATAGCAGACTAATCTACTCATTTCAGTAGTAACACTGGAGCCAAGCAATGGTTTGAACATTTTTTATTATCAGCATGGGATTAAATGACCACAATTTTAAGAGACACAATTAATAGTGATTCTCAAATATTTTGGTCACAGAACACTTTTATAACAACTAAACAACCAAAGTAAAACTATAAGACCCAATCAGCTCCCACCAACTACTTGTGAAAATAACAAAAAAGGCAAGAATCATCATTTCTAATGGCACAACAATATCTCCTTCCTCCAAACTCATTCAATACTTGCATGTTACTCATTTAGCACCTAATCACATGCTGCCTTTTAATAGCTGTTAACTTTTTAGAAGTGTTAGTCTTGCTTTCTTGTTTGATTGCAACATGTTAAGGTTAAATTAGAGATGTATAAAATCACATTGCAAAATACCTTCCATTACAGGACAGGGCATTAAGAATTGAAAATATGGACATTGGTAAATACATATTGTTACTGATGTTCATGGGCAATTCAATATTTTTTTATGTGTAGCAAAAGAAAAAAAAGTGGAATAAGAAATAAAGGTACCCTCTTATAACTATGCAATTAACCAAAAAACTTAAAATCGTAAGACCTTATAAAGGTGTGGCTCCTGCAAAACTAGTGCATGAATATACTTCCAGAAGTACTTTAAGTTGGTATAACCCTTTTTTAGAAACCAGTAATACATTCAGAATCCATAAAAATGCTATAACTCTTGTAAAAGGATTTACCTTAAGGAGTAATTCAGATAAAAAAGGCTTTAGGTACAAATACATATATTAAATTTAAATATAAAAACAAAACATTAGAAACAACTTATAAGTTTAAAATAATGACTAATTAAATGGTCTATGACACTGATGGACCAATGAAAATAAAAACTGAGCAAATTAAGAATTAAAAGAAACTTCCTCAACTGACAAAGGGCATAAAAAACTTACATTTATCATTATACTTAATGGTGAAAGACTGAATATTTCCCAACTAAGATCAGAAACAAGGCAAGAATATCTATTCTCAGCACTCCTATTTAACATTTTACTGGAGGTCCTAGTACAATAAAGCAAGAAACAAAAGGCATGTAGATTGGAAAGGAAGAAGTAAAACTGTCCTTATTCACAGATGCCATAATTGTCCAACTGGAAAATCCTTAAGAACATATTAAAAACTAGATCTAATAAGTGGGTTTAACAAGTTTGAGATTCAAAATCAACATATAAAAACCCATTGTATTTCTATATAATAGTAATGAACAATTAAACATTGAAATTAAAATTATAACATCATTTGCAATGAACATGGAATACTTTAAAATAAACCTAACAAAATATGCACAAGATTTTCTGAAAAGTACAAAACACTGACGAGAGAACTAAAAGACATAAATAAATGGAGAGACAGACTGTTCATGGATTAGAAGACTAAATGTTGTCAGAAT